TCTTCACAAGCGAGCAACTCTGTCAATCCTCGATATAAATCCTACAAAAACTGATCAGTTGAATTATATCACTGTACTTTGATTGAAAAAGAAAAAACAAATGAAGTAACAACATCGACAATAATCGTTACCAATACTATAGCTTAACTAAATATAAGGTCATCATTACAAATCCCGAACGCAAGAAATTAACAGCAAAACAGACCGGATCCAGTTCATCAAGTTCATCGAACTGTGCTGGCCTCGCCAACAATTTAGTGTACAAAGCGATCGGAAATCGAACATCCACCAGAATATTATTGTAAATTGCCAAACCAAACAACAAACCAATCAAGCCATATTCATCATCACAAAATGTGCACTGCGAATTGAACCAATACAATCCGCTCTTTTCATTGAATATAAACATTCCTGAAAGATATTCATTGCTTAAATGTCACAACTTAAAATAAATGATCATGACTCAGACTTTGAAAGTGTCATCCGAAACAATCCACAGATAATATTCGACTAACCATAATCAGGACAAAATAGTTGTTGTGTTATTAGCTGATAGAATTCTTTAGAGACGCCACCTTCGTCCACGGCTTGTTCGTCATCAAAATAGACACGAAGTTGCTTTCTGAAGTTACCCACGTTGTCGAATGCAACCGCGGAGAGCTGAAAATCGGATACTTTCGAAAATGTTCACTTGAATGACTCTATGAGATGCAACAAATCGGATGAAAAGCGACTGAAAGAAAAGAGAAGAAGTGACCGACCCCATCGAGTGCATCTCGTACGACATTACTTCGTCGAACAGCAAGTCTCAGGTAGGGCTCGATCATCACTCCGTACGTGATCGCATCTGCGATCGCATGACGTCGTTCGGAACGTTGTTTGATTCGATTGTAAATAATCAGGAATCGCTGTTTCGCTTCCAGTGATAACACGAAAGAATATTCAGGCAGAACCGAGAATGCACGACCGTTTTGGAACGACTGAATTCATTATTACCGTTACTGGTGGGACAATTTTATAAAATTATCTTTTTTTCATATAGAGTGATCTCGAAGAGTGGTTATTTGTTGATTTGACGTGAGAATCTGCATTGAAGGCTGCATTATCACTGTGGCTACAACAATTTCTTTTATCATCACCAATATCACAGCAATTGTTATCTCATCATCATTACTGTCATTATCATTAGAAAAATTTTTGATCAGCAGTTGTTACTGCTGATCAAAAATATAATGATTTCAAGACTGGAATATTCGGCACGTTACTAAATCAATCCAACCTTATACGCAACAAAATCGTCTTCAACTGAGAAATTTTCACTGAGTGATGTATTGATAAATTCGGTAAGCGGGAAGCATGTGTTCGTCACTGCCCACGCGTCGATCTCGGCCATTCTCGCAGCACGATTCTCTCCGTCGTCGTCATTTTCGTCTGCAATCAAATCGATCTATTCAAT